AAAGCGAACAGAAAATGGGGAATTTCAGTGGTCTAAGTTTGCAAAGAAATTGAGATGCACAAACGCCACTGTTTACGACACTCAGTGACCCTAACCATCGGTTACGGTCATCCCGGGGCTCCCATACAGGGAGTCTAACAGAACCTATGTGACCTAGTCCCCTAGTTACGGATTTCATACTTTCGTGCCATATATATATATGATATATATATATATATATATATATATATATATATATATATATGTACCTTATACACACCCCATTATGGCATGGGGACACACGTTGAAAGACAAACAATTGTTTTCATTGTCTTTTTTGAGCCTGTACAGATATAAGGAAACGACATATTAAAAGAGGATAGACATTCAGTTGCACAAATGTTACAGTGATTGGTGGGGAAGAAGGATGCGGTGTGTGGTGCGAGGTTTCCCACTCTTAAGTCACCACAATACTGCAATCAAGTTATGATGCGTCCTCCGTGGGATCGATCTTTGGCCATGACATGATGCTTGATGGTCAAGAATTAGCTGTAGTGGAATGTTTCACCTACCTAGGTAGCTGTGTTTCAAATGACGGTAGCAAAGTCAATGAAGTAACTGCCCGAGTCTGCTAGGTAAGCGAGAATAACACTTTCTGTGACACCTCTTCCAACGTGTTGAAACCAGCGTGGACAGTGCTCACTAATCCGTTGGGACAGCTGCCTCGCCGTCCGGTCAATGAAGGTTACGTTACAAACAGCCGAATGAAAAGATAACCATGGATGAGGCCAGCGCAGATAAACTGTCTTTGTTGGATGCTCTCATTATTAATGAGCCCGTGAATGTGCATGACAAATTGGCTGCATTGAAGACTCCTCTCACCGCAAGCGTCAAACGTCTTTCATTGCGATCAGATAGGTCGACTCTTTTGAATGGTAGTTTGATAAATTCTTGTTTGGAGCCTCCTGAACGGGCTCGTATTTTAATCTTTCTTCTAGGTTTCTTTCGATAAATCTTTCAGGGTGTCCGTTTTCCCTGAGAATGCTTTCAATCTGAACAAGTGGACTCAGAGCATGTCTTTCGTGCACGCGAGAAGAGGAACTGGATAAGATTCCTTTTTTGTTAAAGCGGCACGAAACTGTGAAAGTTGGTGTACTGTTTGGTCCACGTTTCGCTTCTGCGTGCTCTTCTTTCAAGCAGTCCATTTGCTCTCTTGTACCGAACTGTCGAAGAAATGCTAATTTATCATCTTTCTCTGCTTCCGAGATGGAACTTATGGACTAGTGCACTTTGCTGGATGTTTGGGTGTTGTGGTTTAGATCGCTCTCCTTATTCGTGGCAAAACTAGAGAAATGTCTTGGAATCGGAAGTTAGAAAGATGAAATTCTACAAGCGATTTGTTGACAATATATTTTGCATAACGGGCTTCGACAAGGAAACGCTATTCTTGCTCCCCAACTAGACTCAAGTCACCAACTGAACCTGAATCAACCTTCAAAGTTATTTATTGAGTACCACCTCATCCATCAAAATCATAACGTCTCCATACCCTATCCACTGCGGAGGCGATCGGCATTCATTTGCTCACATTCAATCAAAAGAGACTGACCCATATCATTCAAATGCCATCGTCGTCATCGTACAGTGAAATACAGTGAAGTGAACTTCACCGATCACCGCCAAACTCACAATGCATACATAGTGGTCGTCATCGTTGTACAGCGTAATACAATGAGGAGAACTTCACGGATCGCTATCAAACTCATACATACATACAAGGTAAGTGAGAATGTCTAAGGAGGACAGAGATTGGGCCCATTTTTAGGGACGAAAAAAGCGAACCGCTATGGTCGACACACAGAGCACAGTTCAACTGTGCACATATATACCATTTCAAGCATTCCGGTAGAATAAGAAGTGACAGCATGATCGCCACTGCTGACGGGTTGCTGCCGACCGGCAGCGAGCATAATGAAATACAGTTTCAGTCTCTACGACCATTAACCATGCACTATTGTGCGCCGGTTTCGGTTGTTGTCTTTTGGCTGCCTATTTGAATGAACATAGGGAGAAAGATAGGAAAGTTTGAAAGTAGGCTCGAAGAGAAAATTAAGGATTTCATTGCACTAATTTTGCAAAGAAATCAACAAGATGCACGAACGCCATTGTTTACGACACCCAGCCATATCACTTAGTATCTCTAACCATCGGGTAAGATACGTAACGAGTGGTAACCTCAACGCAAGCTTACACAGAGACCGCGAAATCTGGTGGACACAACGCGCGTCAGAGATGCAACGTGCTGCCGCCATGGGAAAATTTCGTAAGCTGTTCCATCTCATCCGGGTCACCGGTAGGAAAGCCTTGGGTGTGAGCGAAACGATCTGCGAAACTGATGGCGACGTCTTACACGCTGGGTGTGGCACTTCGAGGCACATTTTAGCTGGCCACCAACGTCAGTTTCTCACAGCTATTCCGGCACACGTCCCATGGTCTGTCACAACAGATCCACCTCCTGAGGCGGAAATTCATAAGGAGATTCAGGCCTTGGGACGTCACCAAGTGCCGGGCTCCGATGGCCCTCCTCCAACTCTATTTAAAGACGGTGGAATAAAACCTGTTAGAGATTTACCGGTTACGTCCTCTAATTTTGGAACACTAAATAAATCCCCTTCTCGTAAGGGGAATCAATTGTCGTCCCCATCTTCAAGAAAGGCTCGCGCAGCGACTGCGCCAATCATGGAGTCAATCTGTTGGCGTCCGTATTCTCCGCTGATTATACAAGACACTGGAAGAGCAGACTCGCGAGGAGCAGGCTGGGTTTTTCGCCGGTCGTGCATACATCGATCAAATCTTCACCCTCCAACAACTGTTAGAGCAACGTCATACAAAAGACCAACTATCACTTTGTTCCTAGACATACGCGCAGCCTACGACTAAGTTAATCGGACCGCACTATGGAACTCTTTATTGATGAATGGAGTACCCGAGAGGTATGTATCAATCCTCAAAGTGTTGTTTCATCATAACTCGGGTCGGGTTAGGGCGTATGACCAGCTTTCGTCATCCTTCGCCGTCTTCAGTGGAGTTCAACATGGTTGCTCTATATCTCCATTTCTTTTCAATTTTATCCTAGAGAATGTTTTAAAGGATGAATTATCCGGTCTAGCAAACGATGGAGTCGAACTCCTCCCAGGGAACAGAGTCCTTGACTAAGAATATGTCGATGGCATCACATTGATAGCTTGATCGCAGCGGGTGTTGGTGTTGAGGGGATCACATAATGAATAGCAAAATCTAGAGCAGCGTTCGCCAACCTGCGACACCTGTGGCACCGCCATGACATCCGACTGTCCCTTAAGGGAAGGGTGTACATTGCCGCGGTTCTTAGCGTTTTGCTTTACGGCTGAAAAGACCTGGCCTCTCCGCGTTGAGGATGTTAATCGGCTTTCTATATTCGACCAGGAGGAAGCGCCACACAAGTCAGGCCATGACATGGCGTAGAGGTATGAAGAAGCTGGTTTCACCTTTCGCTTCGGTTAGTGCAGCCTGCTTTCTAGGTTGGGCCCAAGGGGTAAGGATTTTCGTTGGTTAGAGAGACTGAGATACGGCTCAGAATAGAAGTCAATGACATGAAAGCTGTAGTCTGGCTGCTGAAATCCCGTGTACCATAAAAAATGATAAACTAACAAAAATATCAAAAATAAATGTAAAAGGGAGTCAGCAGCTGGTGGTAACTGTGCTGCGAATTATTTTCGGTTGCTGTTGTTCGAAAAAATCATGTGGAGGTTAACAGACGACGTATAGATGAGGCATGAAGAAACGTAAT